AACAAAATATACATAAATTTCTTATGAATTGCTTAAATATGATTTAGCATTATAGAAATTGGTTAAATGAAATAAGATATTTAAAATACTTCCGTGAAAGATGCTTTGATAATCCCTAATTGAGAAAATGAGAGCTTGACCATTCAAGTTAGGAATTTTAAATTATTGTAGGAGTAATCGCTTTATAATTTAAGTTTTAGTATATATTTCTTATATTAAAAAAGAAAAAGGAAATTGTACTGACCGTACTTCGCACTCGGGCTCCGAGCCCGGATTAGCGATACAAAGCCACCTCGAGTACACGCTGAGCGACGTCAGCCCGGTATTTGGGCAGATCATTCCCGAACCCGGGAATCTCGTCCCAGATCAGAATCGCCTTCCAATTATATCATATCATATCTCATCATATCGTATCATATCATATCATATGATATCTTATCATATCATATCATATGATATCTTATCATATCATATCATATGATATCTTATCATATCATGTCTTATCTCAGGCCCAAGGCCCAAGACAACCCTAATTCACACAAAAGTATGTGCATTATTTATACGAGACTCATACTCCCACAAACACTAACTTTAGCATCGGAGTCTCTTTTGCAGGTACCACCCCCATCTTGGAGCACCAGCGTACCAGTGAAGGAGGCTCGCCGACCTTACCCGGCGGATCAGCTCTACAGCAGATTTTCGGTAAGAACATTTGGCGCCCACCGTGGGGCCGATCAAGACCAGCTCTTATTGGCCATTCTTATGGTTTTCACTAGAAGCCATAACAGACGCGCAACAGACGACCTAGATCGCTCAACTACCATGGATAGGGATGCAACAACATTGAGGAGGCTGATCGACCAGGTCGAACATATGCGGAAATAACACGCCGCCGACCTACAAAACATGCGTGCCAAGCACGAAACTGATCTAGCAGCAACGCGCACCGCTAATAAAGCCGACCTAGCGGCACTATGCACCGAGAACGAGTGCATTCACACCCAACTCCTTCGGCATCCCTCAGATCAACCCCCTCCGCAGAGTAAGCTGAATAAGGACGAAGGGCACTCGGTTTCACAACCGCCAACAGCAGTTAGGGCACCGACTCCCAAGCCTCCCACACATCAGTCTCACGGACTCATTGTATTGGGTGGACTTATCTGTATGTAATATGGAATTTGAGTTATGAAATGAAATGTGTGGAATGTGAATGAGATGTGATTGTGGATCCTCGTAGTGATGACCAGGGGTGAGCACGGCCCTAGGCTGCTAAAAAGGGTAGCTATGTCAGGAGTGAGCACGACCCTAGGCTGTAAAAGGGTAGCGTGACCTTAACATAGTAAGATTTGTGATGATTGTGATTGTGATGTGATTGTGGTTCCTCACACATATGACCAGGGATGAGACGACCCTAGGTAAGTGATGCTACATGGATGGCGTGCCCTTGGCATAGTATGGGATGAGTGAGGCAATTAATACGTATCACTTATGTCTAGAGTGGCACGACCTTGAGGTGGCGTGACCATTGACATAGTGTTAATTGCAAGATTTGTGATAGATTGGTGTGATTGTGAAATTGTGATGTGAATATGATGCAATATTGATAGAATTAGAATGTATGGATATGCTTGTAAAGACTTCATTAATTGATGAGTTATGATAAGATTATGTTGTGTTTTTCCTTGTGTTCTTTACATATAGATGTTTTCTTTTCTCACCGTATAATTTGTGGATGTTTTAGGTGAGGAAGATCCGGCTTTGAGTGGCATCTAGAATGTCAACTATTGAATTGTGTGTGTGCTCTGGTATTGTGACATCGGGGCAGAAAATTTCTAGGATATGGAATTTTTATATGAATTTGGAGTTGTAGTTATTATTTTTAAAAACAAGTTGTAAACTCTTATATTTTATTTTCCAAATTTTATTCATGTTGGACATTGAAGATCATTTGTGAAGGTTTTTTTGAGAGAGAATGCTTGATCTATTTTGGGTGCCAAAATAAAATTGAGGTTATTTTATGGTGTGGGTTTTCCTGTTGTTTTTTTTATGGGTTTTGTGTTTGGTTTGGATTTGTTGGGTCTTTTGTTGGGTTTAATGTCAGCTCAAATAATGTGTGCTATTGTAATGATGATTGTTTTGGTAAGGAAAAATTAGGGGGAACAAGCAAACAAAGTTAGAGAGTTGACAGGGGGAACAAATGTGAGTAATAGAAAAAATAATGAAAGCATGGAATGATTTAATTTTGTTATGCTCCTAAATGAACCCTTGATGGTGTTAGATAAATAAAGATATTTTTCCAATTTACATTATTGGAGTATTCTAGTGTTTTATATGTTATCTGTCAATGTATAAGTTATGATGTTCATATGTAAACAACTTGACTCGCTGAGAAGTTTTATATGAAGGATTTCAAATATTCTTAGTCAGAATTTACTTATCTCCTGAACAAGTCAAATTAGTATAAGGCAATGTATTAGTAAAGGTAGATATAGCTCATGTGTAACATCCCGAATTTTCTATTAATACAATGGTTAATTATTATTTATTTTTATATTTATGGAGATTATTTTCTTATAATTATTTTAATTAATTAAATGGGTTTTATAGAATATTTTAGAGGATTTTAATAATAAATATTTACAAAAATTATTTTTAATATTTTAAATTTTAGTAACCTAGAACGGGTCGTTCCGAAACTGGAATGAACTATTCCAAACTACTAAAATGGCCTATAACCTTAGTTGGGAATGGGCTGTTCTGGTTTAAGAACGGATCGTTCCAAACATGGTTGTTGTGGGTTAAACTTAACCCCAGAACGGGTCGTTCTGGTTTAGGAACGAGTCGTTCCGGATGTGACTTTTACACATGATGAATGGGTCCAGAACGAGTCATTTCAGATTTTAAACGGGTCGTCCTGGCCACTCCTGACGTCTATAAATAGCACGCTCTGACACTCCTAAAAGCACATTTTTCACTTCTGACTTCTTTTCTTCTACATTCTTTGAAGACCAAGAGGAACCTAGAGGAAGAGACCAGGAAGATTCTGCTTCAGTTTCAACTCCTGCTTATGGAGGTAAGGGGGGAGTGAGAAACCTCCCTTTGGGTGTGGGAATATATGTTGGGTAGTGGGATTGGCCCCCAATCCTGTGTTTGTTGTATTTGTGTATGCTCATGTATGAGGAATTTTCCCTAATTGTATCTGTTTCGCCTATTATTTTTCTTATATGTAATTAATTGTATGATCTGAGATCTCTGTGGGTTCCTATGGGAAACCCTAAGGGAACGCATTGGTGATTATAAGAAGAGATGGTTTGAAGAGGTAATTGTATGAGTTAATTATACTATTTTAAATGTTATTTGTATGAATTAGAGTACTTTGTGGGTTCCTATGGGAACCCTATGAGAAACAAATAATATTTAACAATGTGCATTTTTGTATCCATCGCATGTTTACTTCACAATGAACTAAAATTTTATTTAACATGAATTCATAAATGTAATACATAAAATTTAACTAATAATTCAAAGAATAATATTTTATAATCGCATCCAGTGACTGATCCAGAAATTTTAGATAGTAAGGGCAATAATTATTTATATATTTATAGTATTAAAGATTTTATATATAACTTTTAAAAGTATAAATATATATCATAATTATTTTTTACAAGCTTTTATCTCTATGATTATTATTAAGAATGAAAATAAGTTAAGTCAGACTATGTTATATTATAATTTAGTAGGTTTGAACTTAACTTTTTTTTTTTAAAATACGTATCCTAAATATGACTTATTTATCTATCATAAATATTTTTTTAAATGTTTGGTTAGAACTATAATCCTAAAAATATACTTTATAATAATTTAATACTAATAAAAGCATAAAAATAAATATGTTTTTTTAAGCAAAAAAAAATGTTAAATTATATAAAAATCAAGTTTAATTTATTTATAATATAAACATGTTTTTAATATCTAATATAATATTTTAGATGATAATTTATTTCAAAACATATTTTATAATAAAAATACTAAATAAAATATAAATCTTACAATCTTTACTATTTTGATTTTTTTAATCAATGTATACATAAATAGAAAGTACAAAAGGTAAACATATATGCTGCAATTTTTATTTTATAAAAAATTAAACTTTTAAAAAAATTAATTTATTATTTGATAAATATCAAATAAATGAATATTTTTTTTTAAATTTATATTTTATACATATGATAATTTAAATTTATTTATTTATTTTATTAAATATAATTTTTATTTTTAAATTATTATATTTTTTGAATGAAAAAATATGCATGTAAAATGTTAGTGGGGGCATATGCCCCCACTCCCTTGTACATGCATCCGTCATTGATGGCATCAAAATTCTATTTATTTATAAAAGTAACATAAATTACTATCTAAAGAAAAGTTATTCCAGAATTATATATGTGAAGAGAGATTAAATGACTTAGTAACTTTTACTTAAATTATTTTAGTCAATAACTCATTGTTTATGTTAAATTTCAACGATTTAACTGTTATAAATTAAAAGTTTTTAACTTATAGATCAAATATACAAAATTTTAAATCCATATATATGATAATTCATAATATAGATTCAAATCAATGTATAAAATATTTTTATGATTATCCTTCGATTTGAATTAACGAAACAAAGTATCAAATAAACTTCAAAAGTTTTAAAAAATTATATACTTGATCTATGCATTAAGGAGTTTTAATTTAACGTTGGATCATTAAAATTCATTGTACAATATGAATTATTGAATGTAATAAGTTAAGTAAGAGTTACTCTTAGAGTCATTTGATTTTTCATATATATATATATATATATAGAATTTA